GGGGGGGGGGGGGGGGGCGGATGTGTTTCATTCTTTTTTCTATTGTTCTATGATAGAGCGGGGATGTGGCCAAATCCGGGCATGCACGTCAAACGCACCTCCCGGTGCGTGAGCACAGCGGACAGCCACAGCATCGATCTCCACCCCCTCCCGGCCTCCTCCGCTCCGTCAACCGTCAGGCCCATCCGCTCCGCGTCGCGCCTCCTCACGCCGGCCTCCGCGGCCTCCCTCTCGGCCTCCTGCCTGATCCCGACGGACAGGGACGACTGCAGGAACGCGCGGCCGAGCTCCGCCGGCGTAACCGGGCGCCGACCGTTGTAGCCGCCGCCGCCGCCGCCGCCGCATCCCGCGTCGTCGTCGCCGCCGCCGATCCCGGAGAAGCCGCCGCCGCGGCGCGAAGGCGTCGACAGGCCTTGCCCGACCTCCACCCCAACGTGCCCGATGCCGAGGTCCACGTCCAGCAACGGGGAGAGTCCGCCGCCGCCGACCGTGCTCGACGACGCCTCCGTCGCCGCCTCCGCGGCCGCCGCCGCCGCCGCCATGGTCGGGGCGATGTCAACGCCCGCGCTGAAACGGGACGGAGATGACGAGGATGAGGTCGGTAGCGAGGAGCCCCGGTCGTGCTGGTCGCCGTCGTCGCTTGCCGTCGCCGTCAACGTGCCGTTGTTCGAGGAGGGCGACGACTGGGCCAGCAGGGAGAGGAGGAAGTCCGCCGGGTTCTGGTCGGTCACGCTCGCGGAGGAAGGCGGCGGGGTGAGCCCGACCGATGCGAAGTAGGCCATCGCCCTGACGCGGAAAATTATGTCGTCGTTTTCATCGTTGGTGTTGATGTTGGTTCATCAAGGAGTAGAGGTCGTACGAGCCCCACAAACAGGGGGGCGAGAGAGAGAAAGACAGGAGAGGAGAGAAGCGTAGGGGAGAGAAGCGGGTGAGAGGTTTGCTATGGAAGGGCGTGGAGGATTGAGAGGGGCGCGCAAGCAGGATGTGAGACGGGTTTTGTGGCTCTCTGGGCCAGCTGCTGCTCTTAGCATCCCTTCGCGGCACTGCAACAATAGGAAGGTTTGTCCCTGCTACCTACCACTGGCTGTAGGGAAAACGTGCGGAGCAGCTGGCCCAGGAAGCTACAACAACCTCACAGACCCTTCGCCATCTACAACTCCTTTCGAGCACGACTCGACCACAACCCTAGTCCTAAGGGATGCTGAGGGCAGCAGCTGGCCCAGAGAGCCACAAAAACCGTCTCACAGACTCTTTCACCATCTATAACTCCTTTCGAGCACAGCCGAACAACCGCAACCAAAATCCTAAGGAATGTGCGGAGAGGCACCTTGCCGAGAAAGCCACAAAAACCGTCTCCTTCACCCATCATCTACAACCTCTTTCGAGCACAACCCAAACCCCAACTTCAATCGCACCGGTTCGCCCGGCCGAAGTAGGCCGGATAGCCGCCCCTCGCGAGCAACAAGCAGACGTCGAGCAGCTCGAACATCTCCCCGGAGGGCTGGTGGAGGCTTAGGATCACCGTGCGGCCAAGGTCCGCCAGGCCGCGGACGGCCGTCAGGACTTCCAGCGCGGTCGTGGCGTCCAAGCCTGGCGTGCAGTAGTCCGTTAGAAAAGAGAAAAGCGGATGCGGAGAGACGATGAGGATGTGCCGACAAAAAAAAAACACGGCGGGGGGGGGTACCCTAGAGTTTTGCAGGCCTTAGCGGTTTGACCATCGACTACGTGTCCTCGAGAGGACGGCGCATTGTTCCCACAGGACAGTGTCACCGATGGACAGTCATTCCTTCTTACTTTGCCAAAGGTGGCTCAAAAAATGTGTTGCCTAATGCCTAGCCTATCGGTCCTATTGGAGGGGGGGCGGGAAGAGATGAAGAGAGGCATTCGTTGATGGGGTGGAAAGCCACCAGCATCGGCCATATAGACAAACTGCGTGCAGTGCGGACATCAACTTCCAAAAAATACAACAACACCAACACCTGACGCCTCCCTTCTGCCCGTCTCTGCGAGATACCTGAGGTCGGTTCGTCGAGCAGCAGCAGCCCCGGCAGGTCTATCGCCTCCACGGCGACGCTCAGCCTCTTCGCCTCGCCGCCGCTGATGCCGCGGTTGGACTCGTCCCCGACCGTGGTCTCCAAAACGCCTGCTCGGAAAAACAAAAATCAAAAGTCAAGGTTTTGTGTCGCATGCTAGCCCGCTCGCAAAAAAAAAAAAAAAGTGGGCCATCGTGTTGGGAGATTCTCTACATTTAAATATGTCTATCGATCGTTCACGGGTGGTATCACACCACCCTTCTTTCTCGGCCGGCACTAGTACACCAACGTTTCGACGAGTGAAATAAAAAAGAGTATTTTAGGAAACGGGGGTTGAGGACGAAAGTACAACGCCTTGTCTCTACCCCCCGCCTCTCGCGATCCTCCCCGCTCGTTACTCGTTATTTTCTCTCGCCCGTGACTCTCTCCTAATTAGCCCCCACGCCTGCCGTCGTAGCCACACTCGCTCGCCTCACACACACACACACACACACACCCCTCTTTCATTCAACTCTCTGCGTCACCTGTGGGTGTTCATGAATCGACCCCCCATGCCTCCCCCGCTCGATGTATGTCGGCAGAAAAACCCACACACACACACCTTCAAGCCCCAGCATGGTGACCATGGCGGCGACCCTCTTCTCCCTGTCCTCCGCGGTGACAGTGTTCGACATGCGAAGCTTTGCGGCGAACTGCAGCGTCTGGCGGACCGTCAGCGAGGCGTGGTGCACGTTGTCCTGCGCGACCAAAAAAAAAATGATGCAGACAGACAGACAGACAGACAGACAGACAGACAGCATTGTAGGAGAGGGGGAAAGAGGCAAAAGGGACCAGCCAAGCCAGCAAGCACCAAAAACAAGACATTCAAAGGTGAAAGTCAAAATAGATTTCGTCTTATTCATCCGCGAACCAGCTCTCTTTTCACGTCGCAGGCATTGTCTTTGCAATCTCTCCTTCATCAAATACTAGAAATAGAAATTTGCAAGCGTCGGTGCGGAAGCATGAGGCCCGACCTACGACAAGATCGTGGGGCGAGCGGATGAGGTGCGAAATGTCACGGCTTTACCTTGCGCATCGAGAAACCAGACACGTCAAGGGTCGTCATCACGACTTCCGACAGGCAACGCTCCCAAACCAACAAAAAGAGGCCAGCCTTGGCCCGTTCCGCCCGCCCCCGCCCGTCCAAACACGCACTCCAACGTCGACAAATTGCCCCCCCCCTCCACGTACCTCAACACAACACACAACAGGAAACAATTCTCTCGTCGCACTCAAGTCCTACCGCAAAGGGGAAAAGCCAGCCGCCAAGGTTAAGATTGCAACGAGCAAACCTACACCCAAATCGTCAAAGTCTTTTTCTTCTTCAGTCATCGCCTTTTTGAAAAAAAAAATATAACAAATCACCGCGAGTGAAATTGATCAATGAAACAAACAATTGCAGCGAAAAAAAACAAAAATGATAAAAACCAACACCAAAACCAAAACCTATAATAGCGCGCACCTGCATCACGTAAGCGCTGCCGCCGACGCCGGAGCCCCTGCTCACGACCCCGCCCTCCCGCCCGAAAACACCGTCCACGACGATGTCGCCCTCCTGCCGCCCGACAGACCGAGTCTTGCGGCCGCCGAGCAAGTCGAGCAGGGTCGTTTTTCCCGAGCCCGAGGGACCTTTTTCAAGAAACGCANTGTTATACAACGTTGTTGCCAAGCGACGAAAACCCAACCCCGATGACAAACACCGGGGGGGGGGGCGAGCTCTTATGTTTTGCATGTCTTAGCGGTTAGACCATTGACCACGCGTCCTCGAGAGGACGGAGCATTGTTCTCACAGGACCGATCACCGATGGCCAATCGTTCCTTTCAGGAGGGGGAGAGGTTTGAGGTTTATGTGCGACAAAGCGTCGGGGAGGAAGGTAGTCATGTAAACGCATGCCGTGGTCGTTAGACCATCGACCTGGCATCCGTACAAGGTCGGGACGGAGCGGTAGGGATCGATTGCTTCTTGTTGGTCGTATTTCTTGCCTACGACCACAACATGCTTCCCAACCAAAATACCCAGATGAAGAAGATTTTCGAGACACGCGCCGACAGCAGCCGAACGCCAAGTGCGGCATGACAGCAACCAACACGCCGCGTCTTAATCCGGGCACAATAGGCCAGCCCGGTAAGCACAGGCGCTTTCGACCCCCCCCAAAAAACTACCACTTGTATAGCATAACGATACACACCAACACGACCCGTCCAATTCCCTTTACTACTGCCTACCGTGTGCCGCTCCTCGTGCCTCGCTCCCCTGCCCTACAGCGGACCGCCATCAGTGAAGAATATTGAGGAAATAGAATAGGGACGGGGTAAGCAGACCCTTCTCCCTAAGCCTTACCCTATAACCCAACTTCCCCCGATTTCATCCTTTATCCAACGTGTTTGGGAAAATATGAAAAAACCTTGAAAGGCCTATTGTACTGCCTACAGCAGAACGGGCAAAAAAGAGCACATTGCTACAAAGTCTTATCCCTCACTCTTTCATCTTGTGGAAGACATGAAATCACTGCCGTGCAAGAAGGAAACAACAGAAAAAAAAAAAACCCGTAGGCCATGTAGTTCGCCCGCTCACCCATGATCGCCATCATCTGTCCCGGAGCCACGACGCCGCAAACGCCTCTCAAGATCTGCTGCTCCCTCTTGCTCTCGTCCCGCCTGACAACGGCGGGCTTTACGACGTCACCACGACCGGCGGCAGCACCGGCGGCGGCGTTAACACCGCCGGCGCCAGCGCCGCGGCCGCCCACGCGACTGCGACCGCTGCCGGCACTAGCGGTGGTGGTGGTCGTGGCGCCGGTGGTGCCATCCTCGTCTCGAAGGTAGACATGGTAGTTCAGGTTCGAGAATGCCACTCGGGAGCCCTGCACGGATGAAAGGTACATGTAAGGGGAGCGTTTGCGTGCGTCAAGGGGAGAGAAAACGACGGCAAAAGGCGCGCCATCACACGGGAAGTCACATTCTTACGTGAACCAGTGATGCGCAGCCAAAACTACGCTAAATTATTGTAGCAAAATACTTTTTTATAAAAAAAGACGCACCTCGCAGACCCCTGCCTCGTATACGCCTCCCATGTTCTCCAGGCTGTGGAAACCTCCGTTGAACCCTCCCAACAGGGGGACGCGGAGGGACGCCGCGTCGTTGTGGTCGTAGCTTTGCAGGCTCCCGCCCGCACCGCTTGTCGTCATCGCTGCGAAGCTCTGGGTAGGTTTCTGAGAAAACAAAAAAAAAACGAGGCAACGGCGGTAGGGGGTGGGACTCATAGTCGTGCATGTATTCGTTTGACCATTGAACTTGCATCCTCCCAAAGGGGGGAGGGGGAGAGAGACGGGGTGAAGGTTTGATAAATGTGACACACAAAGGAAAAATGGTTGGTCCAAAAGAGTGAGACGGAACGACGCCTGGGCGGCTTCAACAAAGCCAAAGGTGCAAAAAGCACCAAAAAAGAAACAGGTGCTTGAACCGACTGCCCACAAGTTTGCCAGGATCATCGATGTGGCGGCCCCCTCGTCTGCCCAACACGTCAAAAACAAGCGAGACGCGCGTCGAAACGCGCCGCTAACACGCCCTAGGCGCACGCTCACACACACCCAAGAGGCACGCACCCCGCCACCATCGCACGACTAGCGCCGACCGCGCGATGTGCCCGCGCAACGGCCGCTACCCAAACTAACACAGGCCGCTTGGCATGTGTAGATAGACCAATCACATAAAATGACCGCTTGGTAAAAGACCAATCACATTCATACCTTGCCGCCGCCTTCTTCCACGTAGTACAGAGGCCCGTCCCCATCCCCGCCGCCGCCGTACGCCTCCAACAAGCTAGAGTCCACCGAGCCCTTCCTCACCGCCTCTGTCTCCTTAACCTCTTCATTGGACCATCCCCCCCCGAAGTCCCCCGACTGCTGCTGCTGCTGCTCCTGCCGCCGCCGCCGTTCCTCCGCCGCCTGGCGCTGCGCCGCCGCCGCCGTCGCCGCGTCCTCCAGGGGCGCTTCCTCGAGGAACTTCAGGCGTGACCGCCGGGGGTGGAGGAAGAAGAGGGCGAGCAGGAGGGAGGTGCTGTAGACGAGGCCCACGTAAACGGCGTTGACCAAGAGGGTCGGGCGGCCGGTGCCGAAGTAGAGGTCCAGGAGCTTGGGGCCTTCGTCGAAGTCGTGGAACTGGTTCACCGCCATCAGCTGTGTCGTGTCATGCGCGGGCGGGGGAGGGGGGCGGGTGGCCAGTTTTTGTTTTTGTTGTCGTGCGGACAGCGGCAAATCATGTGGAGATCGGGTGAGAGCCACCATCATCAGATCATGAAGATGCGGGACGGCGTTAAGCGCGGCGGAGGTTGGCGGTGCCTCATGGCGGTGATTGGTGATTCATGACCGAGGGCGGCGGTGTGCCACCGACTAATACCATGATGCACATGTGCGTTCGGACGACCAACCAGCACGACAACAGCCAGCAGTGCAGGAGTGGCGGTCATGCGTGTGGACAGGGAGGGATTGTGAGTGTAGTAAGAGTGTAGAGCGGGTACCCACTTGAGTGTAGAGATAATGGTGGGGAGCAAGCGGGACGACGGATTCCTGCAACATGGTTCCAATTCTACCACCAGAAGGGGAAGGGAAAGGCAGTAGGTACCAGGTGCACGTCTCAATTCAACTGCAACCTGGCTTGCTACCAACTCGATCGTAACGGTGCCGTAGGCGCTACCATGAATGCTGCTGTCCCTCCTGTCCCTCCTGCCCCTTCCTCCCGACCCACCTGATAGATCCAGCGGCAAAAGCTGAAGTTGCAGAGCCAGGAGAACCACACCCTTACGGCCGGTAGACGCACCGTGAAGCCAGAGAAGTTCGCCGCCGTCACGAACACCAGCGGCCAGGTCGCGAACGCGTTCTGGTGAAAATGCACACGACAAATTGGGGGGTGGCGATGAGGCGGGGTTGGGGGGGGGTACACGGGAGGG